CGGCCTCTCTTTTTTGTGCTCTTCTTTCTTTCTATCTTGTTCTCCATGCCCTCTCTACGATGATCTTGGACGATACCTCGAGCTCCTTGTTATTTTTGTTTTTTCCTTTGCTGGCTGCCTGCCACCTCTGCTGCCTCTTTGGTGCGGTGCCTACCCTACACTAATGCGCTGGTGCATACTGCACTGCTGTAGTACCTGGTACTGGTGTACGTTGTCCTTCGATTTTTTATNGGCTGCCTGCCACCTCTGCTGCCTCTTTGGTGCGGTGCCTACCCTACACTAATGCGCTGGTGCATACTGCACTGCTGTAGTACCTGGTACTGGTGTACGTTGTCCTTCGATTGTTTTTTATTTTTTTGTGGGAATGAATATATATATATGTGTTTGTTTTTCGCCCCCCGTCTTGCTGCACCCCCTGGGGTGTGGTGCAGGGCGGGGGATGCCTGGTCGGCGGCAACCCGGCACGGAACCCTCCGGCGTTGTAGGCGGGTGTGGGAAGCGTTCCCCGTTCTCCTTTTATTTTATTTTGATCGGTCTCCTCGACGCTCTTTCTCGTTTGGTGCGGTAGCTGGTCTTTCTTTCCATCATTTTGTTTCTCTTCCGAGTGGTTTTTGTACCCTATTTTTTTTCTGTTTCTTCGTGGGGTCTTGTATGCCGGGTTTTGAGACCACGGGCTCCCAATCTTTTTTTTTTAGAGCTAATGTGAGAAACAACAACAACAACAACAACAACAACAACCTCCATATATGTTCAAGAACACACGCTTCCGTGAAATGTTCCGTGATTTTTTGGTCGTTGATGCCCCTTAGGGTTACGTGACCCCCGCACATCTTTTTTTTTTCTTACTATCACACAACAAATCCATCTCTTTCAGTTTATTTCCGGCGTTGGGCTTTGTCGGCTTAGCCGCCGCCCTCTTCGCCGCAATCTGCAGCGTACCCGTAGAATTTTTCGACTCTTCCCTTCCGGTAGTTTTTTCGGTAGCAGCGCAAAAAAGAGCAGCCGCATCCAGGCTTGTGTACCCTTTTCTTGCCAATCAATAGTGTGCGTGTTCTTCAGATCTTCTGATGGCTCAAGCATTTTTGTGACCACGGACCGAGTATTCAAATACTCGGGCAAATTTTTGATGTACCGGGACAGAGTTTTAGGGGAATTAAACTATTGCGGCCGAAGGCCGCAAAAAATATTGGAGACCCTTTTTTGCCCCGAGATTTGTCGCGTCCTTGTTCAAGCCGAATCTTTTCGAAAATAGCTCCGATTTCAAAACCGATTTTTGCGTCTGCTCCTCTGGGTTATTGAGCGATGGAATATTTGCATCCATGCAGCAGGNCACCCCCTTCTGCTGAGAGCCGTGGCCTTTACGCTTAGTGGTGCTGTCAATGTGCTTCTTAACAGACGTGATGAACTTGGCCATCGGAGGGCTTGGCGGAACATCGTCAGCTTCTTCGCATGGAGTCGCCGCACTGTGTAGTGGCGGCTGCGCTGCTGGTGCCGCTGTTGATGACGTTGGTGCGGCTGTTGTTTGGCTCGAACCTCCTGCTGATGGCGAAGGTTCCATCGGCGGTGCTGTTGATCCTGCTGCGGTATCTTGAGTTGTTGCTCTTGCTGCTGCTGCTGCTGCTGCGGCGGCGGCGGCGGCGGCGGCAACCGTTGGTGAAACACCACCTTCTGCTGTTCCTGCCGACTCAGGCGCACCCACCGCACCTACCGCAAGGTTGATAGCCTGGGCACTCCCACCGTGAGCTCCTTCCTCCGCTGCTGGAGGCGCCTGTCTTGTCTCCGCTGCTGGAGGCGCCTGTCTTGCCCATGGGCTCCAAAGTGTCTCGCTTCCCAAGCGATTTTTGAACTGATGCGAAGTAGATGCGAGGTAGAATGCAGGCATTTGATTGGCTGAATGCGAGGTAGATCTGTCCCGCTACGTTTTTTTTTTGCCGATTTTGGGATTAGAAACTAACTGACACGAGTTTGTTGTTGCTGTTGATGTTGTTGTCTTCACATATATATATTTGAAGAAAACAACAATTCATATAATAATAAGAAGGTTGTTCGTGGGCCTTGGAAACTCCAGATAGACAGAGAAAAAAAGACGGCCCGCTCGAGATACAACGACACACCTGGTGATGATGATCGAGAAGGGGTTGTTGTTGTTGTTGACTTCACATTAAACCGTATGCCAGGTGCTAAATGCCAAAATCTAGCAAAGACTCTCAGCCCGTGGTCACGAAAGTGCTAGAGCCATCTGAGGATCTAAAGAACACGCACACGTAGCAAGAAAAAGGTGTACAAGAGCCCGAAGAGGTACTACTACACCTATATATAATCCCTGCAGCACCGTACGCGTGCCCAAAACTGAACTACACGTCCGTCTCACCGTTCGACTACAAAGGGGTACAATATCTTAAATGTGCTGAAGTCTTCAGCAGCAGTCAAAACGTTGCCGTACCACGCAGAGCGGTCCTGTTTTTATATCTACGCATACATTTATACGCATATTTGTGTGCGGACCCGCCACACACATGAGATCCAACAATAATAATTTTCACGATGCCCAACTGCTTGTCTGTAACAACAGCCTACACAGCGTTCGTCGTGGTGCTGCGCTGTGTGGTGTGCGATCGCCTTCTCCACCGCAGGCACGTCGAAATAGCGACCATGGTGGTTTGTTGTTGTTGTTTCTCACATTAGCTCTATGGTCCACAAAAAAAATGGGGAGCCCGTGGTTCCAAAACCCGGTACATACGGTATGCATGGACGTTACTCACGACTGTTCATGCGAGCTCCGTCCCATGCTGGTCAACAGGATGTTGTTGTTGTTGTTGTCTTCACATTAAAAAACCGTTCCGATCTCTCTCTACCCAGTACCTTCGTGTGTCCGTACTGATCCAACACTCGACGCGGTCGATTCCCGTGGTCACAGGTTAACTTACCCTAAAGGTACACTCAAATAAACTGGCCTCGAGGGGTCCGCAAGTTAATTGATATCAAGGACGACAAATACTCTGGAGTCCTCCACTCCTTCTGCGCGCCATGCGACGCAACAACTGAGACCAGGGGTCACCATCACGGGCCGGAGATAATGAGGTACACCCCCTTGGTTCAATCTTGGTACTTCACAACGCAAGCAGAACCAAGGTCATCTGGCACAGAAAAAGAGAGAAAAAGAGAAGAAAATAAAAGAAAACAGTATAAGGAAAGAGAAAATGAAATAAAAAGGGCGAGGACAAAAAGGGACCAGGCCGAAAATATCAAGAAATAAGAGACAGAAAAGGCACACGGTGGAGAGACCACCAACGACAAGCAAACACGCAAACATGGCCACCACCAACCAGCGATACAGTGTGGATGAAACGAAGGATACGTGTAGTCCAACCCTGTACCTGCTGCTTTGAAACCGACGCCCTTGTTCTTGTTTGAGAGACTCCGCACAATATTGGGTCCACGCGTCCTTTTTGGATCGGTACAGCAGTACACAGATATGAGCAAAGGTCGAAAGACGGTTGAGGACAAAAGAAGCAACAACCATGGCACCCGTTAGTGATCAGTCAGTTTCGTTCGGTGTAAACTTCATTTTACGAAAAAAATACGTTTAGAAATTCTTCCGCGCTCGGGCATGTCGATGTGCGTGGACCTACGTAGGTCGGTACCAGTTGATGTGCGACACGCGAGGAAGACACCGACCGACGGGCAGCACGGTGAAAACAGAGAGAGATTAGGGAGATCAGGCCGCTACAAAGCTACGTGGTCTAGTCTAGACTACACCGACAGACCCATATAGTTATACATGTGTATACGAAGTAGGTTCCAGCGTTTCAGCACGTTTCAAGCCCTGTTGCCAGGTACACCGGACGCTCTCTCTCCACACTTAAGTACCGTTCACACAGATCCAGGGATTTTTCCGGGAAGTGATTCTAGGGTTCCAATCAACCTTCTTGCTTGCAACTGCACACACACATGCATACAAAACACACAACACACCCCGAACTCTCGGGTGGTTCCACGGTTCCACTGCCGTTCCACGGACGTCTAACCGAGAACGGTCAGGCTCTTCATCGTTATGGTCTGAAGAGAGGATGACATGTTCCATGCTTAGGTTTCGAACGGGATTTGAAGGTTGATAAACGTCTTGTCCTGTTTCAACGCACGCTCCCCGCAACCAAAAGAATGGACCCTGATTATTTGCTGCATGCACGCCCCCGACCCGCAGCCCCCCTCCCTCATCATCAATCAGCCGAGCGCCACCGCCCTCACCCAGCACCATGCAACCCAGCAGCAGCTTGGAAGCCGCAACCAGGCCGATCATCCCCCCACCGGTCCATACTCCAGTGGCACCAGCACCAGCACCGGCAGCACCTGCAGCAACGTCGACAAGAACAGAACAGCAGCAAATGCTTGATGTTACGGTACCCGTCCTCATCACCAACCTCGGCCAGGCGGTGCTCCCTCTCACCTCCTTCGCCTACGCGGGAAGACTGACTGACGCGGCTACCTTGGCGGGTCTGGGCCTGGGGGTCAGCGTTAGCAACATCACCGGGGTGTAAGTGCATTGTACTGTAGACAACAGCAGTACATACAAAGACTCCCTGAAGTGTGTGCATAGTAGAAGGCTGTGCGATCTCTCTCGTGGGATCCGAGATCCACATATTTCTGGAAGTTCATTCGACATGTCTTTTCTTAGCCTGTGCGTGATCAGGCAGCAAACAAGATTGTTGGAAAGCATGTGCAGTTAGTTGGTCTCGCCACTCATTTCTCAGAGCCTTCAAAAGCTCTCACTACGCAATGGCTACCGAACCATGGTGTTGTTGTAGAGTCACCCTTGCGCGTTTGGGGGCGATAAGCGCCTCCTTCCCTTTGTGCCGTTATGATGTCGTGACCCCCCGCCTGTTATAATGGCTTTGTACAAGTACATCATCAGCATCATCATCATCGTGGGTTTTTTACCGACCGGTGGACCAGCACCCAGTCGCCCCGGTGGTCTAGTGGTGTTCTCGTAAACGGCTAGTCGCAGATGTCGTGAGTTCAAACTCTGCGGATGAAAGCGAGATATAGCTATAGATCTATCTATAGCTAGCTGAAGAGCTCTCGTGAGTACCAAACTTCGACGTTAGCACCGTTGACGAGGGAAAGGGACGACTGGACCCTTCTCGCGATAAAAGCATGTATGTATTCAGCACGCACCGCAGGAGGAAGGTGGGGCACGAAAATAAATTAAAAAGGAGAAAAAAGCCCTGGTGTTTAGTTAGCCCCCTCCTCCTGTGTGACCCTGGATGGTAATAGTTGAACGAAAAATTACACTGAAGAAAAGAAAGTGTAGTCTAGTATACTCTACAAATGCTGAAAAAGTGTAGTACACGTCTCACCACGAATAACTGTATGTAGTGTACGAAGCTCGTTGAAGTACGTAAATCATGGGCAGATATCTCACGCACCTTGTGCTCGTTATCGCCAGGCGGTGGTGAAACTAACTCCGCACAGCACGGTGAAAACAGCCAGTGATATCATCAGATGCCACGAAAAGCCAAACCACATTCGATTGAAATGACCGCAGAGATCGGAGCAACAGAATGATGAAGGATTGTATCTTCCTCTCAGCCTCTTTCCAGCGTTTCATATCTGGCGAAAAAACCTTCATTGGGTCCTCACCCTCCAAAGCATGTATCTATCAACCCGATCGTTGAGAGCTGCCACCCCAAAAGGCTCACGAGTCTAGTCGTCGTTGTGGGTGCCCTCTTGTTGACCCTACCGGTGTGTCTGTGTTGTTGCAACCGACTCTTCTCCGCCGCTATTAATCTAGTCGGTAGTCTAGACTACACACCTAAAGTCAGCAGCAGGCTATTATTAGACTACGTACCCGTTTACAGTCGGATTGTGGATATCGTGACGACAACCAGTGGATATCAGGCAACTACCCGACCGGGAAGTCTGGGCTAAATATATGTGTGTGGCGACCGATATACTGTAATAACGGAGCAGTAATGGTTGAAGGGGTCGATGCACAGCGAACGGTTGACAGTTGGTTGCCCCCCCCGCAGCTAGTCGCAGCCATGCGGTGTGCGCATTGGATCGATCTGCACCCAAGTGTCGTTGTTGCTGACATCAAGAAAGACGATCAATACATTCTCGTTGACCCCGGCCGTCTCTGCCCTGTTCAGATTCATCTAGCGTGCTCTCAGTGTACTTCATCATATCGGGTTGTAGTCAACCTCGTTCCGATTTACGGAGTAAGTTGGCCAGCCCGTTGTCACCAAGAGATCCATCCCGCCGTAGTCACCGGTCGCCCCGGTGGTCTCGTGGTGTCCTCGCAAACCGCCATTAATAGTCGCAGAGGTCGTGAGTTCGAATCCCTACGGGGTGAAAAATTTGCAAACTCTGCGGGTGAAAGCGAAACAAGGCTGAAAAGCTCTCGTGAGTATCAAACTTCGACGTTAGCACCGTTGACGAGGGAAAGGGACGGCTGGACCCATCCCGCGATAAAAAAAAAAATCAGCACGCACCGCAGGAGGAAGGTGGGGCATGAAAATAAATAAAATGACGAAAAAAGCCCTGGTGTTTACCCCCTCCTGCGTGACCCTGGATGGTTGTAGTTGCACGAAAAAATAACTGAAAACTGTAGTACTCTACATACGCTGAAAAAGTGTAGTACACGTCTCACCACGAAAAATGGGGGGACTGTCGCCATGATAAATAGGACGAAAATACACAACACAACACAGTCAACGACCACACCGACATCAGCGGGTTGTTGTTGTTGTAGACAGCGACAACCCAACCATCTTGACCGATGAATGTACACGGACATACATACATGCGGACGGTTGGTATCTTTTTGGATTGAGTGAGGTTGTTGTTGTTGACTTCACATTAAACCGTATGCCAGTTGCTAAATGCCAAAATCTAGCAAAGACTCTCAGCCCGTGGTCACGAAAGTGCTAGAGCCATCTGAGGATCTAAAGAACACGCACACGTAGCAAGAAAAAGGTATCCAAGAGCCCGAAGAGGTACTACTACACCTATATATAATCCCTGCAGCACCGTACGCGTGCCCAAAACTGAACTACACGTCCGTCTCACCGTTCGACTACAGCAACATCACCCCCTACCTGTCCCACTCTGTACCAAAACGAATGATTGCCGACTACAGCATACTTGCTGTCTGAAGTGCTGTCTGTACAAAAACACCATGGTAGGCATGGAACAA